AGGGCATGAGGTCCCCAAAATGCAGCTACCACCTGCCCAACCGACTCAGTCTCTGCTGGCTACTCCGCTGTACTCATGGAATGACCCAGGACAGGGAGCTGAAGCTGCTTGCCCTTAAGGACAAGAGAAAGGGAAGGAGAAGATATCAAAGCTTCTCCACTGCAGTCTTCAGGTCCAAGCCCCCTTCAGTGCAGGAATCTACACAAAGCTTCCCAAACAAGCACCGTATTTTTCGGAGTATAAGACGCACCAGGATTTTGAAAAGGTAAATTAAAAAAAAAAAGATTTTGCACACTGCAGGCAAACCCTCTGCACGCCTCATTTTTTTATGAAAAGCGGGCCATGCAGAGAGTTTGAGAGGTCTGCAAAGTGCTCCTGGGGGCTCCCCCCCAAAAAATGAGCAAAAAACCCAGCCCATTTTTTTGCAATAAACAGGGCATGCATAGGCTTGGGAGGTTTGTAGAGGGCTACTGGTGGCTGGGGGCAAAAATGAGCAAAAAATGGCCCCAGCCTCCAGGACCACTTTTCAGGCCTCCCAAACCTTCTGCACATCCATTTTTGCGAAGGGGGCGGTGTTTCGGGAGGCCAAAAATGCTGTATTCAGTCTATAAGACACACCCAGATTTTCACCCTCTTTTTTGGGGGGAAAAGGTGCATCTTATACTCCAAAAAACATGGTACCTCTTACACCCTTTGCCTCCCAAGTCGTTTATTTCACAGCCTTTCAAAGCCTTTCTAAGGGTCAGTCAGACTTTGCCTTCATGTCACTTATTACACCACATCTTGCTGGTTGCAGAGTTAAAGTCCACCCATCTTAACGTTGTTATAGTAGAGGAAAAGCTGTTCTAGACTAATAAAACATCTGTTTTGATCCTCACTTGCGTCTTTTTGAGATCTTTTTGAGATCTGAGGAATACTATTATCTCCTTTTCCCAAAATCTCAACATCTATTTTTTTAGTACAGGGACCAAAATTGGTTACAGTATTCCAGGGATGTGGTCTTATTAGGGTTTTATAAAGCGACACTAATACTTTACGTGATCTTGATTCTATGCCTCTGTTTATACAACCCAGAATTGTATTAGCTTTTTTGGCTGCTGCTGCCCACTGCACACTTTCCCTTCTCCTCTGTTGGGAGATGCAGGAAATGTGGCCTGTGATATTGTGATGCCAGAAATCTGCCAGCTCTCACGGCCAGTCTATTCCTTCTCCTGGGGTGGGTTGAGCCTCCAGCCATCTCCTTTCACTCACAAAAAGGGAAAAGGGGAAAACCACAGTTTGGTCAAGGACCCCTGCCCCTTCACTAGTGAGTGCAAAGGCTCAATGGGAGTGACCTATTTGTGCAAACAGCTCACTTGCCTCGATGCTCCGTCTGCAGTTTGAGCCGCTGGTTGTAGAGGTTTCGCTCCATCAGGTGCTGGATGTCCAGCAGGCCCTGCACTATCTCAAAGACGGTTCCATCAAGGAGGGCCAAGGCCAGGTCACTGAGGATGGTGTAGGACAGCCTCTGTTGAGAAGAACTGGGGGAGGAAAGATTTTTGTCATCAAGACTGCGCTAAGCGAGAAAGATTTTTGTCATCAATTGCATCTCAACCATGGAAACTCAACCATGGAAACTCAACCACGGAAACTCAACCACGGAAACTCAACCACGGAAACTCAACCACAGAAACTCAACCATGAAAACTCAACCATGGAAACTCAATCATGAGAACTCAACCACGGAAACTCAACCACAGAAACTCAACCATGAAAACTCAATCATGAGTACCCAACCATGGAAACTCAACCAGGAAACTCAACCACGGAAACTCAACCACGGAAACTCAACCACGGAAACTCAACCACAGAAACTCAACCATGAAAACTCAACCATGGAAACTCAATCATGAGAACTCAACCACGGAAACTCAACCACAGAAACTCAACCATAGAAACTCAATCATGAGTACCCAACCATGGAAACTCAACCAGGAAACTCAACCACGGAAACTCAACCACAGAAACTCAACCATGGAAACTCAATCATGAGTACCCAACCATGGAAACTCAACCAGGAAACTCAACCACGGAAACTCAATCATGGAAACTCAACCATGAGAACTCAACCATGGAAACTAATGGTGGGTTGCAGGCAGTATGCCTCAGTACAGGTGTACTAGTGTCTGCCTGAAGCACTGGGTACCATTCCGGTATGGTGCTCCAGAGGGCCCACCCGCCCGCCCGAGCTCCTTACCTGCATTTGAGCTCTTTGGTGCTTTCACGCACACACACGGAGCACACGGCGCCTGCGCGATGCTTCTCCGAGCAGCTGGAGCGTCCCGGAGGCTCGCAGAGGCGTCGGAAGAGATAAGGACACATGTGTGCGCTGTATGCGTGTGCTGTGTGCATTCATGTGGTTTCCATCAGTGTTGGGTTCCGGATCCCATTGTAACCATCCAGAACCCACCACTGATGGAAACTCAACCACGGAAACTCAACCATGGAAACCATGAAAAGAGTAAATTGGCCACTTTCTCCCAAGCGCAAGGCTGCTTGCCTTTAAGGACTGCAACAGGAGTTTGGATGCCCCTGGATCAAATCCCTTGTTGGCTCAAAAATGTTGAAAGCTCCTTGTCAGCTGGGTTTTCACAAGGAGGTTTTCACCCAAGTCAACAGAGCCCACGGCTGCATGCATGCACAAAATACACTGCACCCCTGCAAATAGAGTATAGCCTGGGGGAGGCTTCTGCACTGAACCACCCACTGCCATTTTGTATTGGGCCGAAGCCTACTCCTATCAGCTCTCATTTCCAAGCCTTCACACCTTTTTAAGAGAATGGAATAAAGGAATAACTGAATGGGAAGGAACCTTGGAGGTCTTCTAGTCCAACCCCCTGCTCAAGCAGGAGACCCTCTTGTCAGTGAGGCACACAAGCAGATTGATCCCCTAGGGTAGTTCTGAATCTTCACAGCATGCAGTTTTATCTGCCCTCCATATTCCGTCTCCACTGTCATTTCTCAACTGCTTTATGGCTCCTTCCTCTTTGATGGGGAAAACAGGAGGAGCTTCGCTGACTAAATAAGGTGATGGAGAGACAAGAGACTTCAAAGTGGGAGAAGAAAGTAATACATTTAAAAGATTTTCCCACTGTTCGTCAGAAAACAATGCAGAGTATATATTGTAATGGGTCTAAATGGGACAGGCTGAATAACATTGGTTTAAAATCTATTGGTCTTTCCAGACAATGGACAGGATTGAAAGTTTGTCAACACCGTACCACTAAAATCAGTGAGATCTGTTAGACTCAGTTCTTGTTGGACAATGAGACAAATAGGGGCCTGTAGATTAAACCATATGAAAAACAGCTGCAGGATTTGGGTATGGCCAGTCTAGAGAAAAGAAGGACTAGGGGGGATATGATAGCAGCNAGACACACAGAGAGAATCAGAGAGAGACAGAGAAAGACAGAGAGAGAGAAACAGTGAGAGAGAGAGAAAGAGACAGAGAGAAAGACAAAGAGACAGAGAGAAAAAAACAACAGAGAAAGACAGAGAAAAACAGAGAGAAAGAAACACACAGAGAGAGAAACAGAGAGAGAGAGGGAGAGAAAGACGGAGAGAGAAAGACACACAGAGAGAAAAACAGAAAGACACAGAGAGAGAAACAGCGAGAGAGAGAAAGACAGAGAGAAAGAGAGAAAGACAGACAGAGAGAGAGACAGAGAGAGAAAGACACACAGAGAGAGATTTTATTTTGATCTGCTGCATTCCCCCATCAGGGCTGTGAGGCAGGAGGAAGAATTTGAAATCTGGTGGGGCCACTTAAAAAGGAAGTTGTCTTCCCTCGCTCCCTCTCTCTCTTTCCTGCTGAGTTGGTCACCCCGGGATCCAATTAAGCTCGACAACGACCAGGAGCAGCTCAGGGCCAGGAGCCATCCTGCCTGCTAACAGCTGACCTGAGACCCATCCAGCAGCCAACTGAGGATTGCGCTATTCAACACAACAGCCGGACGGCCTCGGATTGGAGTTGGCAACCTCTGCACCCCATTATCTTCCCCTCAAACTTTCTCTCCTCCTAACTTTTCAGGGAAGGAGGGAGGAAACAGTGGGATGGCAGGGACCGAAACGCGCTGGATAATGACTTGGGCGCCGGACGGTTTTGGTTGTTGTTGTGGTTTTGCGCAAAAGTTGTGGGGTTTTTCCCCGCAGCTCCTCTCTCCGCTCCGAAGGGGCAAAGCGCGAACAGCACACTTAGTGAAGGCCCCCCCCTTAATAGAAGTGAGGTTAAGTGTGCTTTGGGTTGCATACTGGATTGTGTCACTTGTGTAAACAGGGTCCGGAAATGCAAGGGGTCCTCGACCTACGACCACAGTCGAGCCCGGAATTTCGGTCGCTAAGTGAAACATTTGAGCGATCTTACGACCTTTCCTGATGCAACCATGAAGTGAATTAAGTGCAGTGGTTCAGTTAGTAACACGGTCATTAAGTGAATCTGGCCCCATTGGCTGACGAGTGTGGCCAAAAAGATTTGCTTATTCCCCCCCCACCCCTTCGTTTGTTTTTTTCCGTCGCTAAACAAATGGTCGTACGTTGAGGACTGCCTCTATCATGTAGCTTTGACCAGGATGGTATGAGGTCTCCTGCCTTGAGCAGGGGGCGGGGTTGAACTAGAAGACCTCTGAGGTCCCTTCCAGCCTTAGGATTCTTTGTTCTAAGAGCCGTCTTCCATGAATCGCGGTGTAGTCTCTCCTGCTCGAGCGAGGGGGGGATGGTCTAAGTGATCTCCGAGGCCCCGTCCAGCTCTGTTATTCCATCTTTCCGTCTTTATTTTCGAGTGGGCCGCCTACAGGTAGGTCCTTGACTTACGACCACAAACTGAGCCAGGAATTTATGTGGCTGAGTGAGAAATGTGCTAAGGGGTTTTTTGACCCGTTCTGTGACTTTTTCTCGCCAGCGTTTGTTAAGCGAATCGTTGCAGTTGGGAAGTTGGTCACGCGGTTGTTAAGCGAAACCAGGCTTCCCCCCCCCCCCCCCTGACTTTGCCGGTGGTGGCCCCGCGTGAGACTGTCGAGGACTGGCCTGCATTCTCCCCCGTCCTCGCTCTGCTCGTCCCAACAGGTGCAAACGTACATGGACCACTATTGCAACAACACGACTGACAAGCGTATCCTGATGATGTTTCTGAACATCTGCTGTGAGCTGCACAAGCTTTGCCAACGGCTGGAGTGCCTGCATCCTGGAAACAGCACCACCAACGCCATCTTGGAGAAATGCAAGACCTACGTCAGCCACAGCAATGATCTCAGTGGCCTCCGGGCTAAGTAAGTTTCTAGTCCAGTGTGAGCCAAAGCTTTTCGGCACCGTGTGCCGGGATGGGAGGGCGTGTGCATGCCGGAAAACAGAAGAGCAGGTGGCTGGCATGCATGCACTTGCCGGAAACCTTTTTTTTTCTTCTCTATAATTTCTCTTCCTCCCAATTCCTCCTCCTTCTCTTCCTCCTTTCCTTCTCCCTGTAATTCCCTAGTATTTTTTCCTTCTCTATTTCTCATCCTCCCAATTCCTTCTCTTCCTCCTTTCCCCCTTCTCCCAATAATTCCTCCTCCGTATTTTTTCCTTCTCTATAATTTCTCATCTGCCCAATAACTTCTCCTTCTCTTCCTCCTTTCCTTCTCCCCATAATCCCTTCTCCTCCATATTTTTTCCTTCTCTATTTTTCATCCTCCCAATTCCTTCTCCTCCTCTTCCCCTTCTCCCTATATTTCCCCCTTCTTCTCCGTATTTGTTCCTTCTCTATAATTTCTCATCCTCCCAATTTCTTCTCTTCCTCTTCCCCCTTTCCCCCTTCTCCCTATCATCCCTTCTCCTCATATTTTTTCCTTCTCTATTTTTCACCCTCCCAATTCCTTCTCCTCCTCTTCCCCTCCATGTAATTCCCCCTTCTTCTCCATATTTGTTCCTTCTCTATAATTTCTCGTCCTTCCAATTCCTTCTCCTCCTCTTCCTCCTTTCCCCCTTCTCCCTATCATCTCCTCTCCTCCGGATTTTTTCCTTCTCTATTTCTCAACCTCCCAATTCCTTCTCCCACTCTTCCCCTTCTCCTCTTCCCCTCCCTATAATTCCCCCTTCTCCGTATTTGTTCCTTCTCTATAATTTCTCTTCCTCCCAATTTCTCCTCCTCCTCTTCCTCCTTTCCCCTATCATCCCTTCTCATATTTTTTCCTTCTCTATTTTTCACCCTCCCAATTCCTTCTCCTCTTCCCCTTCTCCTCTTCCCTACTCCTCTTCCCCTTCTCCATATAATTCCCCCTTCTTCTACGTATGTTCCTTCTCTATAATTTCTCATCCTCCCAATTCCTTCTCCTCTTCTTCCTCCTTTCCCCCCTTTTCCCTATCATCCGTTCTCCTCCGTATAATTCTTTTTCCTTCTCCTTTTCTATATAATTTCCCTCCTCCTCCTCCTCTTCAGATATCCTCACGACGTGGTGAACCATCTCAGCTGCGACGAAGCCCGGAACCATTACGGGGGCGTGGTCAGCCTCATCCCCATCGTCCTGGACTGCATGAAGGAGTGGGTGGCTCACACGGAGAAGCTTCCCCGGAACATGCTGCAGAGCGTGAGTGCCCGCAAAGCTGCCATCCTCCAGCAGATAAACTTGCCAACTCGGACCAAGAAGGGCTTTGACCTCTCAGGGCGGCCTACATTTGTCACCGAAGCTTGCCAGACTAAGCTTAGCTTGCTGGATAAGGCTCAGAAGCGGGAGAATAGGCGGGCGGCTAAAATAAAACAGATGGGCGGCCTAGGGCGAGCCATTCGAAAATTCCTCGACGGTCCCTGGAAACCGCCTGGTAAAAATGCTTTTTGAAACCCCCCCACCAAACCCAGCCAGATATAGGAGGGGGCAGGAGAACGGCACGACCCATACACTCACACGGTGTCTAGAAATTAAAATTAGTCTCCCTGGAACTGCTTCAGCGATGGCCTTTTCTGAGAACGGTGCAGAAAAGGGAGACCATGCTCGGTTGTTCTCAATCTAGCCATGGGCCTTCACAGGGAAGATCATTTTCCGCTCGTTGCCCCTGTGCCCCGGTTGTAGATCCAGGTAGATTCAGATCCCAAGATGATCTACCAAAACCCTACTCCAATTTGCAATATTTTTTTTTCCTGGTGTAAAACCTCCCCAAGTCAGGAGTCCAAGCACGGAATCGCCACTTCAGCTTTGAATGTTGAGATTGCGTTGGCCAACGGTTGGGGTCAACGGAGGCTTCTGACTTAGGTTGGGCAGTTAGGAAGACCCGTTCCCATGGATGGCTCCGTTTCGGGGTGGGATCAGAAACCAGGTTTTCACCCGCCTGTGAAAAAAACCTGTTGGTTTTTTTTTGTGGCCAGATTCGGTTCAGATTCTCGGTTGACTTGATGGAATCCCATTGAGTCAACCACAGTTCCTCAAGGGCCACATCAAGTCAACTTTGTTGACTGCTGAAGCCTGTCCGTACCTGGCCAAAATTGATCAGGCCGCCTTCGATCATGCAATCCGGTTGGATCATTCGGTTCCAAGGGGAGCTAGATCAAATTCTATATTCTGGTTAAATCTCCCACCTTATTCCTGGTTAAAACCATGAGCAGCCCTAGAGATCCAGTGGCCAACCTCCGTTGGCTTTCCAAACCTAATCTCAGAGCAGAAGTACTTAAAATCAAGTCTTTTGGCGATCGGGGGAAAGAAAAAAACACCTGCAGATTGTGAGATCCAACCTGAGTCGGTCACCGGGATATTTGATCTCCCAATTCTGCTTTTTTGGGTCTGATTGTGGTTTTTTTTTTTTTCTTTTGTTTTCTCTTCTCCCACCTTCTTACAGGCTACCTAAACTACCTCTGCCCATTTTTTTTTGCTTCCAACCCGAAGACGCTTCTGAATAAAGCCATTTCCCATGCATTTAATGCTCTTTGCTAAAATGTTCACCAAACGTGGCTTCGGGGCCAGTAGATAAATCACTGTAGGGATACACACACACACACAGCCCCCAATTTTGCCTTGGTTGTGAGAGGCTAAAACCACGAACTAACCACATGTGGGTGGGTTTATTGGAGTGATGGTGTGGTTTGGTCAGCCGAAAGCTCGGAGCAGTTTGGAAAAAAACCCTGCTTTTCCTTATAAAGGTAGTCCTTGACTTACAACCAGAATGAAAATCCTTCTTGTTCAGCCAGTAAGGATGGGTGCATTTTCTAGTCTTTCTCCCCAAAATGTTAGCATTGCTCCCTCCGAGCATTCGGGATGGTTTTTATTAATTTCCGTCATCTTCTAAATCAGAAAACGCCGGTAGTCCTTTGACTTTTAACGACCACAATCAAGCCTGCAATATTTGCTGCTAAAGCAGACGGTTGTGACATTGTGCCTCATTTTACGACCCCTCTGGCCATGGGAGGTTGCAAAAGGGGGGAGGGAGGGGAGAACGGGTAACCCGAGGACAACACAACCGTCATAAGTCTGAATTTTCATGTTTGATGCTGCAAACAGTGGCGAAGACCAGTTGTTAAGTGTTTTTTTTTCAGTGTCCTCGCAACGGCCACTAAACAAAACGGTTGTAACTCGAGAACTACCTGTATGGTAAAGGTTTTTAAAATACTTTTTTTTTAAAAAAAAATGTTTCCCTTTTCTACTGAGACCTTAAAAAGCCGAACCGCGCCGATGATGGTCGAGGTTTTTTTTCTCTCTCTCTTCAGTCTGGAAAATAAAATGAATAATTGAGCTCTTTCAACCCACACCTCCTCCAGGCTCCTGCAGCGTAAAATGTTTATTATTTATGGTGGTGTTTATAGAACTACCCCGGCTATCCGGCACAGCACAAGAAAGCAAGGATGGCAATTTATTTTTCTCTTTTTGTATCTTGCTGGCTTTCTCTTCTCCTCCGTAATGCATATTTAATCAGTTTGATCCAGGTGAGAAAGCCGCTTTNAAAAAAAAAAAAAACAGAGCAAGCTTCCTTCCTGAAGATATTTCCAAATCCGGATAGCTAAACGGAGAAATAAGGTTGGGTGCCCTTGAGGGGGCGGGGGGTGGGTGGAAAGAGCCCTCTCCCGCAAAGGGATAAGGAAGTTAAAAAGTCAGCCTCTATCAGTGACTTGGATGGGATCTGAAAATCCATCGATGCCCCAGAGTGAGAGGGTGTAAATCAGGGGTCTCCGACTTCCAGAATTCCTCAGCATGGCTGGCTGGGGAATTTTGGGAGTTGAAATCTACAAGCCTTCAGGTGGAAAAGGACCCTGCCAAAATGTTCACAAAAGATGGGGGCTATTCCAGTTCGAACACCCGCGGAATAAAGAGCTTGGGGGAAGCAATTTGGTTGGGCTGGGAAAAGGTTGGGGATCGGCTCTGCAGAACCCAAAGGACTGCAGTTGATATGCCAAGGACCGGATTTAAATCCGTTTGAAGGGAGTAGAAGAGGGGGAATAAACTCATTCTCTTCCTTTGGGGCGGGGGTCTCCAAACCTGGCCGTTTTTTAAAAGCTTGTGGACCTCTTCAACTTCCAGAATGGCTGGCTGGGGAGTTGGAAAGTCCAGAAGTCTTAATAGTGGCCAAATTTGAAGGAGCCCTGCTGTAGGGAATGGGGAGGGCTTCAACCACAGACATCAGCATTACCCCCCCTCCCCCGCTAAAACAGCGACCACTTATAACCCTCCGAGCTCATACTTGGGACAAGACTACAGCCCCCATCAGCCACATGCCTTCAGCCCATCCATACGTCAGATAGAAACAAGGCAAGTTCACCATTTTCCCCTGACACTCAGCCAAACATCGCCCTCATTCCATCCCATTGCACGCTTGCCGTGATTTTTTCCCCCCCTCCGCTCAAAAAAGCAGCGATTTAAACTCGCCGTCTGCTTAGGGTCCAAAGAGAGAAAATAAAAGGTTTGGTTTAAGAAATGTACGAAGGACCACTGGAGGAAAAGCGAGGTGTGGCGATTTTGGGGGAGTGGGGGAACCTTAGCAGCTTTCTCGGACGAAACAAGAGCTCCCCCAGGGCTGGTTTTGTGCCCGAAAAGGGGTAGAAAATATTCAGAAGCGGAAGAGGCGGAGAAGATGCCTTTGTGTGGTTTTTAAGAATCAAGGTGTTCCCTCCCGCCAAAGTGAAGGACGTCCTCGTGAAAGAGACACAAGGCAAACGGGGAAAGTGGGGGGGATATTTAAGCCTTCGAAGCGCCATCTTAGTCTCCAAGAACCACAAGGCTGGCTTGCCAAGGATCTCCTTCTGAAGGTTTTGAGGATGGGGGCGGTGGGGGAAATGGTCACAGGTCTCATCCATGCGCACACCCAGTCCCCAGCGGAAGGTTCAAATCCGGAGAAAACCAGAAGGGCTTCAGACCGACGGGTTTTGGCGTTCCATCCTTGGCTGGTGGCCAGCCAGAGATGGTAAGCCTCTTGTAAGAAACTGGGTTATATATAAAAAAGGAAGGAGAAACCTCATTTTGGGTGCAGGTGGAACACAAAACCAGCGAAGGAGATGCTTCTTGCTTTGAGGGGACGCGGAGAAAGGGGAGCACAGGACGGGCGGTGGGGAGAGAGCTGATCCCCCCCCACTTGTGGTTTCCGCCATAAATTTCCACCTGCTGCTGTTATAAAACACTCAACCATCATGGGAAGGATGCCTCCTCCTTCCGTTTTCATTTAACAAAACTCAAGTCGGCGGGGTCATTACCAGCTTATCCGACTAGAGAGAAACACGCACACAGCTAAAGAGAATAAAAGTATCGAAAGAAATAATGCTTCGAGAATTGTGTGGGGACTCTGGCGGGGCGGCTTCCCCCCACCCCCCCAAAAAAATCCTATCCACAGGGGGAGATAAGCCGGTTTTTTGGGAGGGAGGGGGAGGTGGTTGTTTTAAAAGGGAAGGCGATCGGAATCCTAAAGGTAGGATTTGAAATATCGGAGCAAAGTCCAGCGTGCTCACGAGGATATCGGAGGGTTCTTTTATTTATTTTTAAAAAAAAGAAAATTACTTTGGGAGGAGAACCGTCACCTGCGAAAGGGGGTGGGGGGGCAAGATGGCTACCAACCCTGATTGAGGACTGGTGGGGGGGGAAGTGGGGGGGGCACAGTCCTTCAGAGCAAGCACGCAAACATTCCCCTACCCCCTTTCCCGATCCGCCCGCTAACCTATTGCACAAAAATTCGTTCGGTGGGCGGCAAAAGGGAGTCGAACATCTTCAGCCGTCACCACCCCAAGTGAAGGAAGAAGTAAGAGGGGGGGGGGGGGGAGAAGGGAGAAAACGCATGAAAAGATGGCAGAGAGCTCCTTTCCAGATCTGGCATCCGCCCGGATATTCGCTCAGCCAAGTTCCAACCCGCCCCGAACGAAACAAAACCAGGTCCCGTTCCCGTGACGGGAATCCCACGGGCCTAGAACGAAAACGGGAAAGCTTTGGAGTTAAAACCACATGCGCCCCTGCGTGCCTCTCCCTCTCCCGGAGGCTGAGATTATGAGAAAAGTTAACACTGATTTTCCTTTTTCTTTTTCCCGTCCCCCGCCGCTCAATCTCTCTCTCTCTCTCTCTCTCTCTCCCGGTTTAGCTGTGACCGTGATGGGATTCGTTGTAGTCCATTATATGCAGCGATTCGACGCTGCTTTCTTGATTTCGGGGAGAGGGCATGGGTTCCGCGGGACCTGGAGAAGGGGGTAGGGAGCCCCCTCCGGTTTCTAGGCCGGGGGGCCCTTTGCACAATTCAGTCTTCAGCGTGCCGCACAGGCTCTGAATGGCCGCCTGGTCATTGTCGCACTGGCTCTCGCTCTTGTTGCGGAAGAGTTCGCGCGCTTTCATGCCCAGGAAGCTCTCCGAACTCGGGAAGGAACCCACAGTCAGTCGGCTGCGGCTGGAAGGCGGCTCCTGGTGTGCAGAGGCCTCCCAGCAGCTGTTGAATTGTCCGCCTCGTTCGCCGACGGTCTTTTCCGGACTGGATCCACTGCTGTTGCCTTTACTGCTGCTGCTGCTGCTGGTGGTGGTGGTGCTATTGTGAGCCTGGGAGCCGGCAAAACTGGTCTCTCCGTTTCTGTCCAGCATTTCATCGCCACATCCGGCAATCGGGTGACACAGACCTTCATTGACCGAGGGCCTGTGGGGAAGGAGAAGCAGTGGGGTGAGGAGGGCGCAGTGGTTAGAATGCAGTATTGCAGGATAAACTCTGCCCTCTGCAAGAGTTCGATCCTGACCCCTCCCTCCCTCAGCCTTCCAGTCCTTCCGAGGTGCGTAAAATGAGGACCCAGATTGTTTGGGGGGCAAGAAGCTGACTCTGTAAACTGCTTAGAGAGGGCTGTGAAGTGGTATATAAGTGCTATTACTTTTCCTTCCTTCTTTCCTCCCTCCCTGCCTTCTTTTTCTCCCTCCCTCCCTTCTTTCCTCCCTCCCTCCCTCAGCCTTCCGTCCTTCCGAGGTGGGTAAAATAAGGACCCAGATTGTTGGGGGCAAGAGGCTGACTGTGTAAGCCACTTAGAGAGGGCTGTAAAAGCACTGTGAAGCTGTATATAAGTGCTATTGCTCTTCCTTCCTTCCTCCTTCCTTTTCTCCCTCCCTCCCTTATTTCCTACCTCCCATCTTTCTTTCTTCCCTTCCTTCATCCCTTCCTCAGCCTTCCATCCTTCCGAACTGTGGTGGTGCAGTGGTTAGAGTGTAGTATTCCAGGCAAACTCTGCCCACAGAGCCAGCAACAGCAATAAACACTTATATACCGCTTCACACTGCTTTTACAGCCTCCTCTAAGCGATTTTCAGCCTTTCACCCCCATCAATCGGGCTCCTCATTTGACCCACCTCGGAAGGGCGGAAGGCTGAGTCAACCATGAGCCTGATGAGATTCGATCTGCCAAATTGCAGGCAGCCGGTAGGCAGCCGAAGTAGCCTGCAGTACTGCACTCTGGCCATTGCGCCCCCGTGGCAGTTCGATCCTGACCAGGCTCAAGATTGACTCAGCCTTCCATCCTTCCACGGTCGGTCAAACGAGGACCTAGATTGTCGAGGGGAAGAGGCTGATGTCTATAAATTGCCTGTAAATTTGTCTAGCAAATTTTGTCCCGTTTTAACAAAAGCTTACCTTTCTTCGGCCATTTCTGCCGTTTCCATTTTGTCCTCCTGTTTCTTCTGCAACCGGTCGCTATCCAGGCAACTGTACAGGCGTAATATCTCCAGTTCAAAAGTCCGCGTGATTTGTTTCTGCACTCTGTGCTGGTGTTCGACCGCCTGCAGCTGGTCCCTGCAACGGACAAGAAGACGCCATGAACCGAACCGAAGGGGGTGGAACACTTTACCTGGCCAGGTGTGAATAGACGCACAAGGAATTTGACTCCGGTGTGGAAGATCTCACGCTATAGCAGGGGTGTCAAACACAAGGCCCGAGGGCCAGATGTGGTCGGATCTGGCCTGCGGGGCCATCCTGGAAAATGTAAGAGGCCGGGCCACATCACTTCCACCTGGTCTATGTTGTGGCCCACCAGTAGAACTGACAGTGAATTCGGCCAGTGAGGAGGTTGGGGAGGAAGATGGACCAGTCCTGGAGTCTGGGGAAGGCTCGGATGAGGGCTCTGTGTTGGAGGCAGAAAGGGGGCCAGGGCCGTCTGACAGTCATCAGCTGCCTTCGGAGTCAGACATCAGTGAGGCAGAAGAACAGCTGGAGCCTGTTCCCAGTGTGCNGTTTCACCTTCTTAACAAAGTGAAATTAGAGTCTTGTAGAACAGTTTCAAATTATTATTTTCCGCTAGAAAAACAAACACACATCGAATCTGTTAAAAAGTTTTTTTTTTTTAAAAAGAAAAAGGAGTTCCGGGAGTGTTTGATCAAGAGACAAAGTTTGAGGGATGGAAAATTGGGTCAAAGTGAATCCCCCCGCACACACTTTTAATCATAAAAATGGCTCTGTGTGTGTGTGTGTGTTTCAGCATAACTCTGGAACGCCTGGAGAAATTTCAACCAAACTTGGTACACAGATGACTTACTCTCTGGAGAAAAATGCTGTGGGGGTAAAACATCCCTAACTCCCCTAGGGGAGGGGTGTTCTGTTAAAATACAGCCTGTTGTGCCTGTAAATGGCTTCTACTGTACTGCCTGTAAATGGCTTCTACTGTGCAGCGCAGTGGAGTTGCTGTGGTAATGGCTTCACAGTACTCCACAAGGGGGGAAATCCAACATTAGAAATTATGTTTGGTCCCGACATTTCCCCCCTATAAATAAATAAATCAATACCAGGGGAACGCTGGGTTATCGACTAGTCTTTCGTAAAAGCCCAGCTCAAGTTTGAAAAATTCTGATTTAGCATCCCATTCCTGTGTTGTGAGTCAGGCCCAAAAAATGTGTTTTTTCAGAGGCCCCAAAAATGTGTTTTTTCAGCCCTTGGAATCTCTAGATCCTACCGGAGGGACACATATTACGGAGAAAGAATGGATCCAGGATTATTTGTTGATCTTTCTTTCAGAATCACACTTCTTCCTGCTTCTGGTCAGCCAAAAAAAAAACATTGCTGGGCTACTTTTCCTTTTAGGGTGGTCCTTGACTTATGACCCCACTGGGGGTCAGAGCTTCCATTGCTGAGCAAAACTCGTGACCAATTTCATGAGGTATTTTTTTGGGGTGGGGGGGTGGGAGGAGGATTGCCACGGATGTTAAGTGAATCTCCTGGTTGTTTTAATTAATCCACCTTGCCCCATTCCCTTTGCTTGTTCGAAGCTGGGAAGGTCACAAAACGAAGACCCCGGCCCACAGCAAACCGTCACAAATACACGAAGCTTGCCACGCATCCAAATTGGGATCACGGGGTTGTGGGGATGGGATGCAAACAGTTGTGTGAATAACATCATGTTTCCCAGCGCTACAGTAATTGAAGATGGACAGCCATAAATGGAGGATGGCCTCTAATGCAGAAGTGTCATTCTGAACTGGATTAAGCAGAAGCACAACAGAACAAGAGTTGGAAGGGGCCTTGGAGGTCTTCTAGTCCAACCCCCTGATCAGGCAGGAAACCCTACACCACTTTAGACAAATGGCTATCCGGCATCTTCTTAAAAACTTCCAGTGTTGGAGCATTCACAACTTCTGGAGGCAAGTTGTTCCACTGATTTGTTCTGTCAGTTTCTCCTCAGTTCTAGGTTGAATCTCTCCTTGATTAGTTTCCACCCATTGCTTCTTGTCCTGCCCTCAGGTGCCTTGGAGGATAGCTTGACTCCCTCTTCTTTGGGGCAGCCCCTCAAACACTGGAACGCTTTCATTACGTCACCCGGAGTCCTCCGTTTCATCAAACTGGACATAAGCCAGTTCCTACAACTGTTCTTTATAAGTTTTAGTCTTTCAGACACCAATTGCGAAATTACATTTCTCTGGAGCCGCATGTGGCTCTTTCGGCCCTCTGCTGCGGCTCCCCGTCGCTGGTCGGCTCCACAATTGATAGAGCTTTCCTTTAGGACAGGTAGAGGAAAAATGACACCGTGCTAGGCGGAGACTCTATGCTGGGGAGGAACCGGACTTCTGGTTGTCTCCAGAATTGAATGGGGAGGCTTCCGGTTAGGACCTTTGTGGCTCTTTGAGTGTTTAAGGCTCCGACCCCTGCTCGAGATACCCACCCGGAACAAGTTTCTCCCCGGGAAATTTGAAGCCGCGGAAAAAATATTTCTTTTCCCTCTCTCCATTCGGTGTATAACCCCAGGCCTGCTGAAGTTTTGGGTTTTGTGACCGTTTTGTGATGGATCTTGTGAACCAGAACACAGAATGAAGAATCCTAAGGCTGTGGAAGGGACCTCAGAGGTCTTCTAGTCCAGGCCCCCCCCCCCCCCTTCAAGGCAGCAGACCTTATACCATTCTGGTCCAAAGGGTTTGATTCTCTTATTATTATTATTTTTGGAAGTCCTT